CTTCCTTCCGAGGAGTGGCTGGTGGGTTTGAACCGCCAGCCTTCTGGTTAGCACTCAAGTGCCTTAGCCACTATGCTACCAGAGCTCCCATGTGAGCACTAGCTTTGAGTTAAAAGGAAAACATTACTCGGTAGGCCATCTCATCGTTCCTCTGCCCTTTCCCCAGGATGCTCTGTGGAATGCACAATCGAGATGCCCCTCTATGCCAGGGTGAGGCCGTTCTTAGTCCATGGATGCCCAGTGCATGAGAGAGCTCGGACCCTGCAAAGGTCACACTGCATTGTCCTGTGCTTTTACACGTCACAATGCTGGTGGCTACCCTGAGTCACCTGTGGCCTCTCCCTGGAGACTCCCCCTTGGGGTAGGACCAACTGGGTAGGAGGAGAAACGATTGTGTTTGGGGCTGAAAAACCCACGCAGCGAATCAACTCTTGGTGCCACACTCACCTACACAGCCAGAGGATGCTAGTGGCAGTTCCAAAAAGACCCAGACTAGGAACCAAAGGCAGGTCACAAGACTCAGATGTTGTTGGTGTTGTGTTAACTAGCCCCCAATTCATGGTGACCCCACAGACGGGGGATAAAATGCTGTGTGGTCCTGAGCCAGGTCCAGGAGCAGCTGTGGATCAGACCATTCTAAGCCACTGTGTTTTCACTGACTGACTGTCAGAGGTAGACTGCCCACCTTTCTTTCTAGTCTGTCTGAGTTTGGAAGCACCACTGAAACCTGGTCAACATCACAGTGACGCACACGCTTCCAGGGGCACACAGGTGGTGGCCGCACATAATGTGCACTGGACGTGCACTGGCAGAGAACTGAGCCAGGGCTCCCACGGAGGTGAGAATTCTACCACTGAACCAGATCTGGATACAAAGTTCAAAGACATTCAGACCCTGTGGCCAAGAACAATGCTGAGTTGGGTCTCCAACAAAAGACTCAGAGCAGACACGGAAACATGTTTCAGAAATAATTGTGACAAATGATTGTGACAAATTTACACTTCCACCAACAACCTGCAGGCTCAAGCTTGGGGAAACCCCCACTGATGTGCCTGCATAGCAACCAATCTACAGTCATCATTACGCAGAAATATGGAAATACGTGACAGCACCAGCTCTGGAGGGAGCCCTGGTAACGCAATGGTTAAGGGCACAGCTCCTAACCAAGGGTGGCAGTTCACGCTCACCCAACAACCCTCAGCAGAACAGACCTGGAGATCTGCTTCCGTAGAGATCGCGGTCTAGGAAACCGCATGGGCAGCTCTCCTCTGCCACACGGGGTCACTAGGAGTCAGAACGGACGCGATGGCACCCAACAACAAACGAGCTTTGGGGTTCAACGTGTTCGAACCTAAATCCCACCTCTGTCATCACGCACTTTGACAAAACTCAACCTCTAGGGAACCATTTCTTTATTCCCTAAAATGGGACTGTTACCCTCGACCTCACAGGGCTACTGAGGGATGTGACGTGCTATGCAGCATCTGCTATGTTACAGGTGACTGACAAGGTCATGCTGCTGGTACGGGTGTCTGTGTGAACGACAAGGTCGGGCTGCAATACAGATGTCCACGAGCATGAAGACAGAGTGAAAACCAAAAACAAAAACAGGCAAAGCCTCACGAGGATTTTTTTTCTCTCAAATTTTCATACATAATATTTTGTGATGCCCTTTCAAAAAAGAAAGAAAAACAAAACAGACTCATATTAAAGCAATATAAAAAGCTTAAGAGCTAGAGGCGTACTACGCACCGAGTCATACCGTAGGATTTCAGTCACTGGGAAAGATACCCATCTTTTACTTTAATGGGTGGGGCTCTGAAGTCAGCCATGATTAGGAGGGTGGTATGTACTGCAAAGCTTACACAATGAAGTAACCAACTTGTCTGGCAAGAAGACAGTTACTACAACAGTGGCTGACACATGCTGAGTCTTACTCAGGTGCCAGCACCTATGGCCAGGCTCCATGCAGGGTTCATTGACTGGACAGCCACCCAACAAAGTCGGGAGCAACCCTGGGAAGTGGTGCCATGCCTCTCCCAGGTCTCAGACCAGGTCCGAGGCCGGGGAGGTGAAGTAACTCACCCAACAGAACCCACCTGGCTGGTGAACAAGAATTCAGCCTGTCTTGAAGCCTGGACCCAACCCTTAACGCTGCTCTTCTGCTTTGTGTCTTCACATGCACCCAGCCCCTCCTGCAGGTAGACACCCACAGCAACCCAAGTGTTAACGCATCAAGAGCAGGCAAGCTGCCACGCTGACACCCCTGCAGATGAGCAGCAGTCAGCCGCCACTGCTAGTCGCTGGAACAACCCTGCGGCTCTCCCGAGTTTCCTATGCTAGGGACAAGCTGGAGGTGAGGAAACCCCAAGCAAAGAAATGAAAGGTGTACGTAAAAAGCAAGACATTCAAGGCACACATCTTGATAACTTTGTAACTGTCGTTGTGTGCTGTCATGTTGATTCCGACTCACAGCACCCCTAGGGGACAGAGCAAAACTGCCCCATAGGGTTTCCCAGGCTGTATATCTTACGAGAAGGAGCTCTGGTAGCGTAGGGCCTAAGGCATTTGACTGCTAACCAGAAGGCTGGCGGTTCAAACCCACCAGCTGCTCCGTGGAAGGAAGATGGGGCAATCTACTTTCATAAAGATCTACCACCTCAGAAACCCAATGGGGTCACTATGAGTCCGAATCGGCTGATGGCAGTGAGTTTCGTTCGGTTTTGTTTTTAATCCTTATGAGAAAGGATTGCCCGGTCTTTTCTCCCATGGAGGGGCTGGTGGGTTCAAATATCCGACTTTTCGGTTAGCAGCCGAGTGCTTAACCACTGTGCTACAAGGGCTCGTTACCTTCGTATTAAACCAAAAAAACAAACCCACTGCCATTGAGTCAGTTCCGACTCATAGCACCCCCACTGGATTTCCAAGGCTGCAAATCTTCAGGGAAGTAGACTGCCTCACCTTCCTCCCACAGAGCAGCTGGTGGGTTTGAACCGCCCATCTCCTGGTTAGCAGTCAAAAGCCTTATCCACTACACCACCATAGCTCCTTAACCTTTGTATTAGTTACCTTCAAATACAGGCCATCCCTGAGTTACGAATGAGATCCATTGCTTTGCTTTTAAGAATTTGGACATAAGCCAGACAGACACACACAGTTCTTCCTGAGCCTTTACCTTAGTGCAAAACAAGGCCCAAAGCCTTTCAGTGATTTAAAAGCTGCACGTGCAGTAATGGAAGGTGACTGTGATGAGAATCTGTTGCCAGGAGGGGTTGGTCTGATCCTCTCAAAGTGAGGGCAAATTTACACAGCATTCAAGGACAAGTAGGAGCTGTCCTAAGTCAGACCTGAGAACTGCCTATATATTCTCTTCCCTTCTTCTTAGATCACAGGGTAACAAGCTGACACTTCTTCCTCCTACACCAAGATACCTGCAAAACAAAGATGACCTCAACAGATCTAATGCTCGCACTTTCTCTCCACCTGATGCTGCAGGGAGAGGAAACTGTTGATGTGATTCTCTTTGTTGACAGCCCAAGCAGAACTCACTTCTCAGGTGACTCCACGTGGCGCATGCACTTCCTTCCCGGTGTGTTTCCACACACATCCTCCTCGTTTGCATCCACATCTTCATCATCGATGCTTTTCACATCAAGCTTCTGGTACCCAAACTCCCCGTTCAAAGACACACAGTCAATTTTCCATGAGTTGCTGCTCTGGCTTCCATTGGAGTTTGGCCCAAAGGGGCTTTCAAAGGCCGATATGATGTTGACTGAGGAGCCGTCAGAGTTGTCCTCTGAGCGTGCCCCTGTCCCGGGCATCTTTCTGAACACGTCACCAGGGTTCTGTTCGTCGTCCTCATCATCAAATGAGATGATGTTGGTCACCTTCTTTTTCTTCTTCCGCTCCTTTCTGTTTTTGGCATCTGGTGAAAGAACAAATACAAGCGAAACAGTACAAGCGAAAGCAAGATAAAAGGATGGGCATATCATATTCCCTGTTGTGGAAAAACCCCTGCCACTCTACTGAGAAATATGCTATGAAATAAATTCAGATTTTTTTAAATTCTTGGAAAATCAATCTATAAAAGACTGACCAAAATGGATGTGGGCCTCTGCTTCTGAAATATGTGCCATAAAGCTTACCTTGAAATGATTCCTTCCAAAGGTGTGGCCAACTCCCTCCATGAACTACTGCCTCCTTTCCCATGAGACCTGAAGAATGGATGGCGCCCAACTATCACTGAACATTTTGGTAAAGGATTCAATAGAGGAATCCTGATCAGACAGGGGGAAACGCAGAACAGAATTTCAAAGTCTCATGGACCCCAGACTTTGTAAGGAGCTCTGGTGGTATGGTACCTAAGGCATTTGACTACTAACTAGAAGGTTGGTGGTTCAAACCCACCAGCTGCACCTCGGAAGGAAGATGGGACAATCTACTTCCGTAAACATTTACTGCCTCAGAAAACCAAAGAGGGGGGTAGTAGCTATGAGTCAGAATCAACTAGCTGAGTTGCTTTTTTCTTTTTCCCCAGACTTTGTTGAGTCATGGAAATTCAGTGAGCCCTTGAAACTACTGTCCTGAGATAATATTTAAACCTTAAACCAAAAATATCCCCTATAGTCTTCTTAAAATTCAGCAATAATTTAGCTTAACTACCAAAAAAGTGTCTGCCTTAAGCATTATGCTTTTTTAAGAAACAGCTCTATGGAATTGACCACAGTAACTCAGAAGACTAGATAGGAACTGTAGGAGGCAGTGAGGTGAGGTTAACGGTGGAGGAACAACTCGGAAAAGGAGGGTGAGAATAATTCAGGGGGGTCGTGTAACTCAGATAATGTAACCAGTGTCACTGAACTTCACGTGCAGAAACTGGAACTTGTTAGGTTTTGCTGGGTGTAGTCCCAACAACAACAAATAAGTGTTTTTTTTAAAAAAAAAAAAAAAAAAGATTCCTTCTAAGTCATCACTTTGATTCAAAGGATGCTACTATCACTGAGATGGTTTTCACTGTCCACTTGGGAAAATTCTCTCGTGGCTGGTCGACGGAACCAAAACAACAAGTTTAGAGGTTGTGCTCAGTTGTTTGCTGC